ATCGATTTTCATGGGATCAGTTGTAGATCAGATGTCAGTTCATTTAGCTGCTTTCACATATTCTAAAAAAATTATATGTGTGCCATAAGGAAATTCAAAAGGGAAGCCATTACCTTTCTACATACTCTTTCAATAGCTCCTTTGCTTGAACCAGCTTGGATAAAAGGTTGCGGTAGACATCAAGGTCTCTATCAACACTTTTCTTATTTACATTTAGTGCAGCACAAAGCTGTCAAGCCATGAAGAACCATATCATCAGTGGGCATACAAGACAAAAGTCTACCAGTATCGGGACCATGGGACAAGGAATTAAGAGAAAAGGCATCACTTCTTTGTTCCCTTCAATGACACGATAAAGCTAACCAAGTTATATATATATGCAAGATGCCAGTTCAACAAAAAGACATTGAAAATGAGATAATTCAGTTTAATAACGTGTAATTCATACTGGACTAAGTTTCACTCTTGCAAAATTTACATGCCACCGACACTATGTATGTCTATGCTAGATGAGATGGCTTTGATTTAGTAGCTACACATGGATACAAAGGTCCTCAAATATGAAAAACATTTCTTACATAACTTGGCGTTCTTGGCCCTCATCAAAGAAAAAGAAATATCAGACATTTCAAACCAAGCTCCTGACCATTAATCTTAACAGTCACACAAATGTTACCTTCTCTAAGATATTTGGCTCAGTCACATTTGCCAACTCGAGCAGGCGGAATAGACCAACAGCAAAGAACCGGCTATAGCTGAAACTTCCGTTGCTCCTTGCCCTTTCTGATATGTCCTTCAAAATGTTTTCAACTTCTCCTTCTCTGGATGCAAAATCTACTAATGAATTTGCAGTCTGTGAACGGGCCCACTCTTCTAACTTCTGTGCATCAGCTCTGAATCACAAAACTTACTTTAGGGCAACACATTGGTCACTGATAAAAAAGAAAAATGGAAAAAGAGAAGAAGAAAGAAGCAAAAAAAAAAAAAAAAAAANNCAAAAAAAAAAAAAAAAAAATCCACTCTACATAAAGTGTTAACAATACAAGTCAACCACATCTAGATCAAGGATACCTTTTACATGTAGGAATTTTGAGGTTCAAATGTTCAATCAAAATGTTGAATCACGTTAGCAGCTAATTAAAGGATGCTACACATTACGTTCAAGTCTATCACGTATGAATCGGAAAAAGCGACAGAACAGATACTAATTTTGTATGCAAGAGGTTCCAAACAACCTGTATTGAGCAGGATCCTCATTTAGAGCCTCAATGTAAGCTTTGAAGATGGCCTCTCGGTCCTCATTGCTAGGATATCCATCCATGAGCTGATCATACACAGTAACGAAACCAAGTGCAAAAACGGGATCATAGCGGTATGACCTCTTGTACCTCATCAAATGCTGCAGTACAATTAGCTCTTGTAAAACTGTGTTGAATATACTAGGAATTGGTCTCTTATATGCCTTCAAGAAATTCAGCTTTGTTTGGGAGACTGTTGGCAGGTCTGAAACTAATGAGCACAAGGGACAAATGTTCAGAATCAGTTCTGGAGCTTAAGAGAAAAGGCATAATTCAGGAATTTAACAGAAGCAGACATGAACATAGTTAATCAGAGAATTCATAAATCTCAGAGCATTTTCTCAGACTGTACCCTGTTTGAGGCAGATTAAATACGAATCCCTTAATGAGACCACGCTGCATAATATCTATAGGATTACAAAATATCGTTTTAGTATAATGTTCGGAGCATTAGAGTAGTAGGCACTGTATCCTTCATATATATCATGCAACAGCACTTAAACATCAAATGTAATGTTCAACGTTGAGAAAAATTTCGTTTTGCAGTCTTTTCAATCAAGTAAAAATAAATTAAGCAAGAAAGGGAGCATATGAACTACGGATGCACCACTGTGAAGTAAGTATATGGTCTAGAGTAATTGTGCTATATTCGTAAATGGTGGGTCACAAATTCTTGTGTGAGGTGACCTAACCATTGGGCGGGTTTACCCGTTGTACTTTTTTAACAAAAATGCATACTTATGCTACGAAATGTCAAACTTGAGAGTATGACATTTCAACTTGAAAGTATGCACATATGTCGAAAAAGTATGGCTGCCTGGTAGGTCTGACTAACAGTAGCCTAACAATGAATTTATGAGCCGTGTGGATTTGCTATTCTGAAATACGTTTTAGGATAGTGAATCTCTTACCTGTAATTTTAGATCTTGATCTATTATTCGGGTTAACAAACAAAGTAATTGAGGGTCACAGTCTTAGCTCATGTGCTTAGTAGTGCATTAGTATATCACAAAGCCGTGTCTAACCTCCATACTCAGAATCAATAATTGTGTATTTGGTGATTACATGATTTCAATTAATGTATAAATGTTTTGTTATCATTTAAAAAAAACTGAAAACTGAAAACAAAAAATTAAGATAAGTATAACCACAAATATGCTACCAATCAAATATACAACCACATTCTTGCAATACTATTTACTTCTATGTTCTCACACAATTATCATCCTCAAATCACAACCACGCTGCAAAACATTCAAGGGGTTACGCCATTATTATTGAAACAACCAGTTCAATGTTATTCACAAAAAGAATTGCGATGTAAGAGTGATATTCTACACCAAATGCAGCAAGCCAATGAAGAGAATCTAACACCAAATTCAACCCAAAAAAGGAGTAAATAAATAAATCACAAGACCTGTAGCTGTGGACATGCAATGAACCACCATACGGGAGCTCGAGCTCCTGCTCCGAAAGTTACACGAAGTGTGGGGCAAACGGTGATTATTGAGGGCGAAGCAATTACGAACAGACGGAACTGAGATTTTCCGGTCGGTGGACTGAGTTACTGCGGCAAACGATACTGAAGTGACGGCTGCCATTGTTGCAGGGAAGCTTATGTTCTCCGTTTATCCTCGAATGATTTTCCGATTCAGAAAGGAAAACGATTTTTCATCTTGGAAGGGAACATAGAAAGTAAAAAACTAGCTGAAAAGGGAGTGGATTGAAAAGAATTATCCAGCCAAGGAAAATGAATTTCTTTTTTTCTGGGATTTAGTATGAGAGCAAATCATAATTTGACACGTGGGTTGCTAATGTGACGTGTGATGACCTGTACCGGTTGAGCCTCACCGTTTTTGATAAATAAATTGATGTACCTCTTATTTTATGTGGCTAAGCCTAATGTGTCTTCGTTGTCAGTAAATCCAAATTGGGATTCACATGTAAAATGGAGAAATAACCGCTTAAATAAAAGTAAAGTTTCAAATTTTTTTAATGAGTATACTTATATTTTTTTTTTATCAAATAATAATTATATTAGTAACTTAAAAAAGAGTACGAACACAGTTGGAATATGGACAAAGTTTGGACCAACGAGTTTTTGGGGACATGTGGCGCGAGACGGTTATTGACCCGAGAGTTCGGCAACCTTGTGGGCGAGTGGTTGGCTCCCTGAGTCAACACCATACTAGATGAGGCACAAAAATAGGGCGGTTGTGAGAAGCATTCTGGCAGGGGCGGATTTATACTAGGGCGAGCTTGGGCAATTGCCCAGGCTCAATTTTTACTGCTAAGTATATGTTATTATGTTGATAGAATTTTCTGTATGAAAGATATGGCAAAATAAAAAATCTGTATGCGCAAGAATGAGGGAAGAAGATGACTGGTAAGAGGGTTTTTTCATTTTTTTCTTAGCCTATAAACGACGTCGTTTTGGCCTTCATTTAATTAAAAAAAATTAAGCCAAACGACGTCGTTTCTATTAAATGTCAAAAAAAAAAAAAAAAAAAAAAACCCCC